ATCTTTACAAACCTTGAGCGAAAGTATCTCAATAATGTCTTGTCCATTTTGATATTTGAAGCTATTTTCAAATTATACGAGCTAATAGAATTCAAAATGATTTTAAACATCGAAAAGTCTAGGCTAATATTGAGAAATCTTTGCTCAAAGTTTGAAAAAATATATATGTTGTAAGTGGGAACAGAATTTAAGTGGATTTGGAAATTCTTAATAAAATTATAATTTTAGGATAATTGTTAGTAGGATAACTTTCCGTAATTTGTTGATCACATGAAATTGAATAACAAGTTATGATTGGCCATTCATACATTATGTGCAACTAACTAATCAAATTACATTACAGTAAACTTCATCGCTTTTCACTTTAACTAAAATATTTCTTAAATACCTACCGCACCTTTTATACCGAACTAATATAATGTTTAAGTTTATTATACCCAGAGCACGTTATGATAAAACTCGTTAGAGCCTGTAGACATATAAAAAGTTTCAAACATTCATATATTATAACTTATGTATTAATGTTCTTTATGTTTTAAAACTTATTATCATGGTTTATAAATCGCTTTATCTATTTTTAACAAAAGTTTGTACTCTTAGTTTTTTTTTTTCAATAACTCAGCTATATTTAACGGTCGAGTAATTACATAGTTCTATAGTTACAATATACATAGAAATTGCATAGTAACTGTTAGTGCTTCTTTCGAAGATAGAGACGGGTTTAATTTTTATTTTTTACTTCTGTACTTATGGAATATTACATTCTTAAAAAGTGTTTTAAACTGTATACTGTAAATACAATTGAAAGTGATTGACCAATCAGAAGAAGTTATCCTAAAAATACTGAAATAATGATCAAAAAATATGGCGGAAATAGAAGAAATTTGTTACAGGGTAATTATTTACATCCACGACTAACTTATTTACATAAGGTACGATGGGTTTACTAATTTTTCCTACCACTTCTACCACTCTGATTGGTTCTACTAATTATTCACATATCGGAGTATTGTTAACCCCTGTAATTAGCATCATGTGACAATTGCCTACAATGTAATACCAATGCAAGGGACACTGCAATAGCACTAGTAGCGCTAATACTTCTTTTAAAAATTAGTGGTTCTAGTAACTTTGTAGTTTATAAAAATAGTAACAAGGATCGAAAGTCTAAAAGTATAAATAGCTTTAGATATTTCTCATGTAAAGAACAGAACTCGAAGTTTCAACAACTTGACAATAATAAAGGAGTAATCGAGTCTTTATACACGAACAACTCAATTACTTTATTAAATAAACCTAACACTTCCCATAAGAGTAAAACATGTCTTCATACACAGATCGCTCTAATAAAATTGTAGCTCAGTTATAGTGTCTCCATACACGTATAACTCGAGAATCGAATTGAATAAATCATAAACTGTAAACTTGTTTATACAACTATTTGTATCTCCATATACATCTAGCTGTTTGCCTCTTTCGTAATAGCAAATCACACAATCCTCTTAACAGCGTAACTGCAACTAACCCCATACCCTCCCTTTACTTAGCATAAATCAGAAATGATTATTAATCTTTAATATAGCTGTCGCTACAGTAAAACCATTATACCAGAACTTATAAGAGGTGGTTTCAGGTGTAACAGTATCTACCTTAATAATCAATTTTATGATACTCCAATAGCAAAGCGGTGAAAAATTAATAAACCTAGGTACGATTATGCCACAAATATTTTACTAAAAAAGTATCGCTGTCGACACATCAAATATATCGTAATTTTCTTATATTCAATTGCCAAGATATAACTATTACTTGCTCTCTCACTATAAAAATTACCATTTTTTCTAAAGAATTTGATTCACTAATAATTACGACCTGAAATTAAATACAGCAAAAAAGTTCATAAATAGAGGTGGGGATCGATTCAAAAAACTATGATCAATAGTTGATTTTCTGAGTTGATTATCGCGCTTTTCAAATTACTGTGTCCACTGATCAGGGACGATGATTTTCTGTGATTCACAGAAAACAGCAGAATTTCTCTTAAGTACAGCCAACCACAGAAATCACTCTCAATCACCGCAGAATATCACAGAATTCGAAAAAATTGAGGTCACCTGATTATTAACCAATCGGATTGAAAATTCATAGTAGGAGATTCATTACGCAAACATATGACATATGTATCGTATACTTTCAAGAAAATCATGATTAGGGGGTGCAGGCGAAACTTCCGTAACTTGTCATGACTTTTGCCATAAAGCAATTCACCTGCTTCTCTAATCATGATAAAAGCTTTTTCAAATATAAATTTGTAATATTGATTTAAAATGATTTTTTTTTTTAACAGGTTATATTTCAATTTATCATAACGGCAAATTTAAAAAATACCAAGTCTGAACAAGAAACATTCTTAATTAAAAGTAAATATCAATATTGATATCAATATAATTGTAATATTATTATTATACGTACCAATTTTTTTTTTAATATAAATGTGCAATAGGGTTTAAATTTTTTTTAATAATGGCAACTCATAATAAAAAGGTTTCTATAGCTACTCGTATAAGTGAATATCCTGGTGTTTTTAGAGAAGATGATGAAATTATGTTTTGCAACTATTGCGATCATTCTGTTGAATGGAGGGTAAAATCTATAGTTGATGGTCATTGTAATTTGAAGGCACATATTAAGAATAAATGAATTTATGAAAATAAAGAGCAGTCTAAAAAACAAACTACACTTTCTACTATTAAAATTTCATCTGAGTCAAAAAGAGAAGTTATAGAGAATTTGATTAAAGCATTTTCTTTTGCAAATATTCTTCTTGAAAAAGTTAATAGTTTACTTCCATTTTTTAAAAAATATTTAAAAGAAGGTAGTGCTATTCCTCAAGCCACCACACTTTATCAATTATATTTACTAACTGTTTTTGAGTGCCATCTTACTTCCCTTCAAGATTTTTTTATTCAAAAACCTGTAGCGATTATAATGGATGAGACTACAGATGACTGTAGTGCTCCGCACAATCAAATCAAATTTTGAATTTGAATCAAATATTTGAAATTATTTGACCAAATTAATTAAAAATTTGAGCAAATAATTTCAAATATTTGGTTCAAATTCAAAATTTGATTTAATTTTGTAGAGTACTAGATGACTGTTCACGTAGTATCATAAATGCTTTATTTGCTTTTCAACAAAATACTAAATTAGTTTCGGTTAACTTTTTGAAGTTATAAATAATTCAACAGTTGGTGGTACTTTATTAACTATTTTAGTTAAATTTAATATTTCATATACTTTACCAAAATTATTTTTATCTAATTTCGTGGCTTATATGAAAAAATATTACCGTAAAATATTAAAACCAGTAATGCTACAATTAGTGCAGTAATAATCGAAAATTAATTCTTAAAGTTACATAATAATTATGTAATATCAAATAAAAAATGTATATTAGTATAGTATCTTATATTATTTAATTGATTCAAAATTTCAAACTTACTTTCGCTTAACTTTCTAAAACACTTATCGAATCTATACTGTATTAATAAACTTAGAGCTAAATAAAAAATGTATATTAGTATAGTATTTTATATCGCTTAATTGATTCAAAAATTTAAACTTACTTTTGCTTAACTTTCTAAAGCACTAATTGAATCTATTTTGTATTAATAAATTTAGAGTTATCTTGCCTTGTAAATCCGTTAGTAACAAAGCAGCAAAATGTTATTTTGACAAAAATGAATTTGGGTTATTCTAATTAACCCAAAGTTATTAGAATCTGATTCAAGCTATTACGCATTATTACTTATTGGGATAATAGTCAAAATTTAAAAGGTATTATAATTTTTTATGACAAACCCAATAAATAAATCATTAAAAATAAATTAAAAGTTCTACCTGCTCAAATTTCATTTGATAACACGGATCCGTTTGCCCCTTTACCCAGGCCAAGTATTCCTCTACTGATGGATTAGGATGACACTTAACATACGGCCACAGCAATTCCATGGCCATAGCTTGGCGATAAATATTGCAATTTGAATCCCAAGATTTATAATGGTCGTGGCATTTTTTAAAATAGGAAAGTTGATTTTTGGTTTTATATCCCTGGCATATTGCGAATTGCTTGAGATCGATATTCCTATTAGATAACTAAAAGTTAACAAATAGAAAATAAAATATTTAAGCACAAGGTAAGCTTACCAATTTAATTCTACAAAGGCTCGAAGCATGTTCATTTCTTCATGCAATTGCCCAGGAATGAGAATTAGCCATAGGTATTTTTCTTTAATTTTTACTGCCCGATGATATGGAATACCATCACATGTTACAACTACCCATTTACATATTTCATCTTTAATCCCTGAAATTTTTTCGATATTAGTAAAAATTTTTTCGATATTTTCAGTTGTGTTAGGATTAACATCAAGAGGATCAGGTATAAAAATTTCTGAAATGTTAACCCCTTCATCAGCACGCATTTTTTGAGTCACGCTAATTCTTGGTGTGTTAGATGGTCGAGTCTCTTTTTCGGTATTAT